GAACTCGGTTGAATGCTAAATAAATTGCCGAAAATGTGTTGTCAGCCAGTTGCTGTAACATGTGATCCATTATAAGACCAACTATTGCTATGTCTTTCATTGATGACTGTGTGACGTACCGATGTACTAACCGCATTCTAAATTAAACTAAATTGTGATATACACAGTGTTTATTGCTTCTTGAAAGCACAATAAAAATCTAGGCTATTGAGATGTAATCCTTAATCATCATCCTCTATCAGATTTTAAGCGCTGACATTTATTATATAGATGAACATATGTAGTAAGAACATAATGGATATAATTTATTTGCTCAAATACTAAAAGAGACAAAAGAAAACATTTAACGAAGACATTAAATCAGTTGGTTGCACAATCTGTCTATGCATTATGCTCAACAAATCCTTTGAAAACGAAGCAATACATGTGATTAAGCAGTAGGAATTTGGAAGTATATTATTACAATAATACAGTCAATATCCCCCATTTATGCGTGCTCTTTTGAATTGTCTCTGTTTTTACGATACAGGATACAGCACACAATAGTGGATATTAAAGCCGAAATAAATATACCAAGCAGGATATCTAAAAAGAAAACAATGATTTGTTATTAGTCATGGAAACGGAAAGCACACGACGCATTTTGAGTAGTGAAGAAATTATCGGTAATCATAGGCAGACGTTTGTGTGGGAATTGCGAAAACGTACGATAAGCCACTCATATATATATAACGTTTGGAATGTACTGCATGGTGAAGAATATATATATCACAAACGAGCTGTAAATAAATTCAATGAGAAGACGTTTTCAGTTATAATGGACATGATTAGATCTAGACATAATCATCTGAGTATGACTGTTTAGATATTTCACAAGTGAGTGGTTACTTATATATTCAAACGTTTGGAAACGGTGTATATGACAAATATTGATTTGGCTAACATCCCGTGCTAAATAAATAACTTACAGAGTATTGTCATTTTGTTACCTGCGACGCTATTCTCTGCATTGGAATCTACTTAAAAGATGTAATGTCGGAAAATAAAGAAATCAGCGATGTAGAAAACATCCAATCACATTTATTATTAACTAAGAGGGTTTTAATGGCGTTCAAGACTCGACGTGCTCAGCAGTTATTCCGGATAAACAATTTGAGTGGTACCATAGTTTTGATTATCGTTTCGATATTTATGACTCGTGACAATATCATTCATTATTAGAACACGTTGTTTGGTAAATACCAGGCGATGCATTCAAAACAGTCAACAAACATTAAGTCTTTTAGTTTTAAGTAATTGATTAGCATTTTCGTACGTAACACACGTTCTTTGAAGAGAACTGTCTAATTGATGATGCTGACTAAAACAAGTGTCTGCAAAGATTTGTACTTACCTTCAGTATTTGTGGTTAGTGCAGTGGTAATAAACTCAGCTAAAAGAAAGTACAGTTTAAGAGTCACAGGATAACTATGAATATATTGATGGTGACTGTAATGTGAATGAGGACATTTTCATGATGTGGGTATAATGTTAAAGTGCTGACAAAAAAGTTGATGTAGTGTCGTTTAGTTGTTACGCAACTAAGTGCTAAATATGAGTAGGGGTTGAAATTTCGTGAACTGAGAGGGTTTGCAAAATATAAAGGATGCGCAAAAAACAGAAGTCATATTGATTTGAAAACCTGGAACGATAAGCACACATGGTAATAACTCAAGCGTTTCGAAGCTAACAACACCACGAATAACTCTTCAGTCACCACTGACACACCAGTTGCAGGTGTATGCTGGAAAAGTATTTTCAGATCCGTTCGAAGCATGTGAATATGTGTGAAAAATCAGTGAAGTACAACAACCAACTAAACTATGACGTCGGTCATGTTTGTATTATGGGTTGGCTCAGCTGAAATACAGAAGTAGAGAGAGAAATATAATTTTGCGAGATGTACTTGTTGATTGTGTATTTGTTGACAATGGGAATGATGGTATGAGGAGGCGAGATTGAGGGAATGTTGCCGCGGTGACGCATGTGATCACGCGACACCGACCATGTCAATGTATGTTTTGTGAATATGTGCCTTTCACTGAAATACGATAAACTTACTTGTAATTTTCATTGCTATCGTAGTTTCGATTGGGTCTTCTGAAACCGAGAGAATTGAATAGAATAATTTTGTATCATATGCTTTTTGAAGCCGGACGTATTGACCATGGGAGTGATGGGATGAGGAGGCGAGATTGAGGGACTGTTGAATGGTTGATTAGTGGATTTGTGTTGAGTGGCTGGTGTGACACGTTTGCCTGTGTGACTGTGTTTATGTGAGTTGATGGGTGCGTGTCACTGTGGACATGTGTGTCAACATGCCCACATGGAGTTTGTGTGCACTGACAGTGTGTGCAAACCATGCAAATCGATGCACGAACACAGATATCACATTGATTTGGAGATGTGAAACTACCAACACACACACACACTTCTCATGACTAACGGAACGCCACAACTGCACAATCAACCTTTCCACTAACATCGCTGCACACTAGACTGTCATCAAACATCAACCACGTGAATCAACCTCATTCACGTATGTGGGCGTCCATGGATTATGGACGTATTGCATTCCATTGAAACGTCACTCTCTTTCTACAGCTGTTTTGTTGTGTGATGTTGCATTTCGAATGAATTGTGAAATGTGAAGTTTGAGAATGATTGCTCCTCAATCAACTAGCGATAATGATTGTGTTTGCAATGTGGATGAGTGGATCAGTGGGTTTGTGTGACTTTTCCAGTTTGTTCGGAAATTATACGTGACGCAACTTCTCATGAGTGGTCGAAAGCGATTCACACATAGTGGAATCCGTATCAGTCACCACTGACACACCAGTTGCACGTGTATTCTGGAAAAGTATTTCCAGATCCGTTCGAAGCATGTGCATTAAACCTGATGAGAAATGTACAATGTGTGTCAACATAAGTGTGATTGGGTCGGCCACACAAGATGTGATCAGAGGGAGTGAGTGGAAGAACACGAAAACATCGGCAATAAAGAAACTAGACAGTTGATGAGTGTAATGGTGTGGCTATGTTACAATTGTCGCGGTGAAGCATGTGATCACGCGACACCGTCAATCTCAATGTGTGTTTATTGAATATGTGCACTTCACTGAAATACGATAAACTTACTTGTAATTCCCATTGCTATCGTTGTTTCGATTGGGTCTTCTGAAACCGAGAGAATTGAATAGAATAATTTTGTATCATGTGCTTTTTAAGCTGGACGTATTGACAATGGGAGTGATGGGATTTGGAGGCGAGTTTGAGGTAATTTTGATTGGTTGATTGGTGGATTTATGTCGAGTTGACTAGTTTAATTGTGTGATTGTGTGTCTGTGTGTGTGCCACTGTGAACGTTTTTGTGGTATTGCTTTCACTTTCCTTGTGTTTTATCATTATATATATATTGTTTTGCTTAACAACTGAGTTTCTCAATAGGCATAAAACTGTACTCACCAATCTTCATGCATTTTGAAATGTATATATCTTTAGTTTCTACAAAATGATTAAGATACATGATACTTCTTATAACTTTGAATGTGATTAAGTCAGTATTACATTTGAATGGCACTACGTCTGCAGCTATATTAAGAACTAGATTTCCACTGACTCCTAAACAAACATTTATAACTTAAGTGTTTGTGAAGATTTCGTCAATTGGATATGTTAGCATTGAACGGATTGCCAACTTATTCAATGTATACTATAAAGATTTAACAAAGAAAGCTGTGAAGTGAAATATAGCCCATACCTCAGAGACCGATATACAACGGCTAAATTATACACTTTCAGATTTAGTTATATAATAATTGTTTTTCAGGAGAACCAGACACCATCCGGACTTTCACGTGACAACCTAAACATTACAGCTCAACCCCGTTTAGCAGGAGAACCAGATACCGTATAGGCTTTAACGCTACAATCTGAATAGTACAGCTCAATCCTGTTGGCGCAACCACACAGGTACCAAGCACCCGGTGGACCAATATTGAACACATAGATTATGTTATACTTAGATATATGCTTTATACAAAACGTGATGGAAATCGCTACGATAGTGTCTTTCGTTGACGCAATCCAGTTTGAATGCATCTAGATGCATGGTGATATTTTTTGTGAGACTTGATGCTAATAACTATTGTTTAAAACATTAAAACCTAATCCACTAGCCTATTGAGCCAGTAAGTGATTCTGATTATTTATTTAGGCATAAACTTCGAGATTCAACTACTGACAGAATCTTGTTGAAAACCAACAAATATATAATCTCAATGGTTAAGATCATGAGTCATTTGAAGCTAGACCACCATGGAAAACCTGGAATCACTGGACGGCCGTTTCGTCCTATTGTAGGACTCCTCATCAGTGCGTATCCTCGACCTCTTCCCCTGCGAGATTCGAACCCAGGACCTACTGGTTTCGCGCGCGAGCACTTAATCATTTAGTCTTAATAATTCAGTAATATTAGAACCACTAACCGACTAATGTTGGACCATCATCAAACATCTAGAAGCAACGAACTGCTGTTTCGTTCTAGTATGGAACGACTCAGAAGTGTACATGTACACCGTAATTCGGACCTATGATCATAATGAAACTCAGCAATCGCCAACAGTCTATACTGAAAATCATCATATCCTCATTAGTGACTAGCTTTGAAGGGAAATTCTTGAAGTTCTAGTGAAAATTTGTGACTTGTATAGTTCAAACGTGTCAAGTGTGAATCAGTTATCCTTCGAAGACAATAGAAGATGACCATAGAATAGGATAGATTGACTAAAGGTAGACTTGCACACTATTATCGTGGATCAGTGTAGTCTGAAATTTAAGCGTTTTAGCGAGGAAACTTTAGGTCCTAGTTTCGAATCTCACGTACGGTAGGTAGCACAGATGCCCACTTCTAAGCCTAGTATCATGATAAATTTATTAAACAAGGAATTGTTCTTATGAATTTACTGAACATATATAACATACCTTTTTAATTGATTAAACATTAATCCACGTTGGATAAAAGCCATAGTTTGATATTTTTGGTTACCAACATATATACACAATGTTAAATCACGTAATGATTGTAATGGACATGTTTTAGTCAGTAGACAACCACGTATATATAAAGCCTATAATAATGATAATGACTAGTAAGATGTTATAACTTACAATATATTACTATTATAAGTAGTAAAGTATAGTTATGGATGAATTCATAATGTTAATACTAATATATACTGTGATTAAGGGTAGCGGAAACTCCTCCTAAGGCCCCTCTGAGGCTACTGCCGGTCCAAAGCCCAGATAAGGGAGGAGGGTTGGGCATGGTGTTAGCGAACCCATCCCGTGGAAGACTAACTCGCCAAAAAACGCTAATCAGAAATAAGAGTAGCGGAGCACATACGCAAATGGCTTTAGAAACAAAAGAATTCCAGTAGTCATATACGATTACAGGATAAACAGACATCTTCCTTCATTGCGAAACATTTGATTGAGACTGACCATAAGATTGATATCAAGTCAGCATTTGTAGTATTGTATAAAAGCCTTCAAGGATGTTTATTGAAGCCTTGATTATACGAAAACTGAAACCCTATTTATGTATTCCAAAAAACAATTTGTTCTTACCCTTAACCTACCCTGGTAACATTGATTTACTATCCAGAGTAGTTATCACATTGTTTCTGTGTACTTTCTTCTACTTCTTTATTACGGCTTACCTTTAATCAGTCAAGTTGGCCCTTTAGTTTTCATATGCAAATGTTGGATAGTGGATGTATTGCTAAATCTCATGGATTATTTGAAGTTAGGGATTAACACCGTTGGATGCTGGCCAGCTCAGTGGTCTAGTGGTTAAGCACTCACGCGCGATAGGCCCTGGGTTCGAATCTCGCAAAACGTGATCGTGGATGCGCACTGCTGAGGATCCCCACAACAGGACAAAGCGGCCATTCAGCACTTCTAGGTTTTCCATGGTGGTCTAGCTTCAAATGACTCAGGATATCAACTATTGAAATATAAAAATGTCTTAACAAGTATATTGTGTGTGATCAGATTGTTCGAAATATATTACTCAAATATGTCATATAATTCTGATAACCTACATCTTCTCAGTGCATCATCTAAAACTAGTATGGTTTATTATTAAAATGATTTGTATTGTGTAACATTAAAACTTGTCTTAAGGTCCATGAGACATTCTTAGAATGACCTATATGATGAGATCACTAAAATGTGGTACAATATTTGAGACGAGCTCAAAAATAGTAGTTTGAATGAGAAACTAACTATTCGTTTACGAGCAAAGATGAATACTGGATAGCAGTGAAATCCAGGATAAAGCGCGGTTCATCCTATTTGAGACTCGTCAACTGGATGTACTTGCATCCCGTAGTTGATGTTCACTCTGGGACTCCAACTCAGTACCGTTCTCTTGAAACGCCACATATGCCAATAAAAGACTGATCATTTGCAGTCCTAAACATTAATGGGAAGATACAAGTAAAACAACACCAAGTGAATTTAAACTTCACCCCAACGTATAACCAAGTAGCTATCAGAACTCAGTCGCTAAGTAGATAACACGATGGCGTCTGAGTCGAACGGTACTGTGTCGGAGTTTCGGCTGGAGTGAATATCAACTCTGAGATGCAGGTACATTCAGTTGCCGGGTCCCAAACAGAACGAAACACATGTCATAGAATCCATTGATAGCTACTATCCATCTTTGTTTAGAATGTTTGTGAATTAAGGTAATATGGAGGCAATCCGTACAAACCCGTGCAAATATGCTAATAAGAGACTGATCAATTGTAGTCTTAAAAAAACTCAATGGAAAGATTTAAAAAAACAATACCAAGTGAATGTAGATAAACTTACTTTATAATACAATGGTTGAAAGTAAAGACAAGTTGTTAATTCAGCTAAAGCTGTATTATAATTAGATAATTTTAATAAACATCTAGCCAAATAATATCTTGCTTCAAAATATGATGGATTATTAACAAGAACCATTTTAAAATAAGAGATTGCTGTTCTCCAATCCCTTAGAATTGAATAAGAAGAAAGTGATTAGATAAAGTAATTGCCAGGTAAATACGTAGATAACGTAATTGAAATTTTTAGATTGAGATCATGAACTGATTGGTGTTAGACCACAATTGAAAACCTGGAAGCACTGGAAGGCCGTTTAGTCCTATTGTGGACTTCCTCAGCAGTGCGCATCCACGATCCCACTAGCGGGATCCGAACCCAGGGTCTTAAGTCTCGCGTGCAAACGCTTAAACTCTAGACCATCGAGCTGGTCGTCATCCAACGGTGTTAATGTCTAACTTCAACTAATCCACGAAATTGAACGAAAAAACCCACTGCGCACTGATGAGGAGCCCCACAATGAGACGAAACGGCCGTCAACCAATCTACGAAATTGCGCGATCATCTTCCGTTGTACTGAGGGAGATACCTGTCTCTGCCCAACACGGATTATCTCCACTGGTCACGGCTTCTCACTAGAACTTCGAGAATTCCCTCACGAGGCTAGTCACTAGTGAGGACATAATAATCTCTACAACCCTATACTGGTAATTGAAATTCTTTTGAAATACATACAGTACATTAGTTTCATTCTATTTAAAGTACTCTTCCTGTAGTGAACGAGAACACAAATGGGGGAAACTGAATAAAAAGTTACAGAACGTCTTATTAAGATCTGAGAACTATACAGTAAATACTTCATTTGTAGTATCGATCAAACATCTCAGACATGATTGTCCCTTCGTTTCTACACCAATCATAACTGTGATCGTTCTCTTTTTTCTTTGATCTTCTTAACCTTCTGCCACCAGGCATTTCACTTTCGATTGATTATATATACTACTTATATCTATCGGCATCAGTAACATACACCACATCTGAACTAAATTTAGATTTTTAGATATGATAATGTCAAAATAGTGAAACTATGAGTGAACTAAAGAGCCTCACTTTGAGAACATTCAAGGTTATTTTGAGGGACGAAATGCAATTGAGACAAATATATGACGAGTCCCAAACAGGACGAAACGCGCGTCCTGGATTCCACTGCTAGCCACTATCCATCTTTGCTTAAGATGGATATTAGTTTACAATGAATAAGGTCGATTGACCTCAACTAAGTAGTCTACATCTAACAACATGGCTCAAACTAGAAGTTAGTGACTTCAAGCACGGATACCATGTTTTGGATTGGCCACACTTAACTTTCTTCCAAACCATCTCCAAGACTAGTCAGTATTGCACGTTGTGGTAATCGGTGTTCAAGCATACGTAACACGTGTCCCAATCATCTCAGTCGATGAATATTTACAACCTTATCAACCAATCCACCATCATTCCCTAATACATTGAGTCAACAAAATGGAACTGAGTGAAGTCATGAAAAGTTTACTTACTTCGAGTGAAATTTATATAAACCACATTGAAATTGAGCATAGACTGACTTGGGATTTATACAGAGGATTTTCATAAAATCACTATTTGCCTGATGATACATTTTTAACTGAAACAAATAAGAAAAGCAATAAAATTTCACTATTTAAGATCATAAGTCAATTGAAGCCAGACCACCATAGAAAACTTGGAATCACTTAACATCCGTTTCGTCCTATTCTGGGTTTCCTCGGCAGTGTGCGTCCACGATCCCACCTCTCGAGATTCGAACCCATGACCTCTCGGTCTCGTGCACGTACGCCTATCCTCTAGACCACCGAGCCTGTACCCTACTGTGTTAATTTATATAATTTGTTCACATAAAAATTTCTAATGAAGTCATTTTGTCACAGGCAAGCATTTGTATGATTTATAGACACCCATATACTGATAAAGATTCTAACGTCATTTGTTAAGCTTTGCAACTAGAAACATTAGTAGTGGTCTATTACGGCTAAACGAAAATGGACGCCGTTCACACACGTAAGTAGCTTTGGGTAGTTTTTTTAGAGTTCTTTTATCATGTTAAATAGATAATGTTGAATACAATTTATTTCATACGAAAGTTTCGCTAAATTCTAGTTACCATTTTTTCCGACAATTGCTGCTACATTTGACGTGGTGGTAGGGCTTGCCTATTGTGATACCCAATCGGGCTATACTGGCTGGAACAATCGTTCTCCAAAGTCCTACCATACCAGACAGGTGGGTTGAGGAGAAGTAAGACTAAAAGCAGTAAGCCCAAGGTCCGAGGGCAAAGTCGTACTGCTGATTGTACAGAGGTTAGACGGCAGTAAGCTGTTTTACTTCAAACAACCGGTATAACAACGATGCTTCTTTTTTACAAGGAGGGGTGGGGTTAGAAAAAGTCGACCATAAAAATGCGAACCTCGCCTTATCCAATGGAGTTTTGTCTTCAGCGGTAAGGTTCTAACAAGTACGGGGCTAACACGGTAATTATCCACAGAAAGGTCGTGTGTGGTCGGCGTTAAGCAGTTGTCTCCTAGGTAGTGCGGTCACGCTTTTGGGTCACTAAGACCAAATCTGACTCGTTTCCCTTTCTAATTACCTCTAGAAGAACCGTTCCACAGTATGGGAAACCAGAAAGTAGTAACCACCCTCAAAACCTCTAACAGCAATCAAGTTACTATTTTTAGAAGGGTTTGTGGTAGAGTCAAATTTCACTAAGTTGACTTAGCTTTCTAAGGATTATTTATTTATAGTTTAATTATCAAGGGAATATGTAATGTAGGGTAGATAAAGCTAGTGTATCAATTGTGTTGGTTCATACGAAAATCGTTCATGTCATCTTACGGTCTACACTGTTGAAAATACTATAAGAAAGTCATTACCAAAATCTCTTCTCTATTGAATTATACTACAACCCAAGACATTTGGTATGTATCACTACCAAATCTTGTTAAGAAAACTTATTGAACAATGAACCGCGACTTGACATACAGATGTTCTTTGCTTGTTTTTCAGCTGATTTTAATTTATAATGGAAGATACCTATATGTTGTACCGAAATCTTAAACACATCAGTATAAATATCAGGTTATTTTTCCTTATATGGAATAAACATTCAAAAGAATATATTTTTCATAGAAATATAAACTGGAAAGATGGATAATGGCTAGCAGTGGAATACAGGATACGTGTTTCATCCTATTTAGGTCTCGTCAACTGAATGTACCTACGTCCCACCAGTTGATAGCCACTCTGAGACTCGAACCCAGTATCGCAAATAATATCAAGTGGATTTAAACTTTACCGAATGGCTATCAGAACTCAGTAGTCAAGTGAATAACATGATGGTGTTTGAAACGAACGATAGTGGGTTCGAATAGTGGCTGGAGTGAATATCAACTGTGAGATGTAGGTAAATGCAGCTAGCGAGTTCCAAATAGAACGAAACGGGCGTCCTGAATTCTTTAGCTAGTCACTATCCATCTTTGCTTAAAAATCTTGTGACTTAAGGCTATATCGAGGCAATACGCACAGTATGCACATATACGAATAAGAAACTGATCAATTACAGTCTTATACGTCAATGGGGAGATTTAAGTAAAACGATACCAAGTGAATGTAAACTGGAGTTATAAAAAGATTTCTAGTTTGGATCCCATTGTATTACACTCGAAGACCGATTGGAAATCTGATTGGCACATGTATATCAAGAAAGTGTCATGTTTAAAATCTTATCAAAGTTATGTTTTGCTTCACGTGGTGTTATTTTACTTGTATCTTCCCATTGTTGTTTAGGACTGCAATTGAACAATCTCTTATTGACGTATGTACATCTTGTGCAGATTATCTCGATATAGCCTTAAGTCACAAGCATTTTAAGCAAAGATGGATAGTGGCTAGTAGTGGAATATAGGACGGGCGTTTCGTCCTATTTGGTACTCATCAGCCGAATGTACCTGCATCTCAAAGTTGATGTTAATTCCGGGATTCGAACCCAATATCGTTCACTTCAAGTCTCAAATAGGACAAAACACTCTTTGTCCTGGATTTCACCGTCAGTCACTATCCATCTCTGGTTATGTTCTGATTTCTGAATATCAGTCTTATGTGTTTTCACTAAGACAAAAACAAAAAAATCATAATCACCTTGAGATAAAGATTAGCTCTTTTCTCATAAGCTAATTCATATGTCGGATTATAATGAATTAATTTTGTCCATATTTCAATTTCCATTTTAGAATCATTTAATAATGAATAAATAAATGCTTTTGAATTAAGAATATCATGATAAAACTGATGGAGATTAGTATTGAAACTTTTCATATTACTATTATTATTTCTGTTGTCAGTAGTAGTCGTGGTCATCGCCGTCGCCGCCGCCGCCGTCCTTGTCGTCGTCGTAGTAGTAGTACTCGTCACCATTGCCGCCGCCGTCTTCGTCGTAGTAGTAGTACTATTATTATTAGAAGTAGTAGTAAAGTTTTGTATTGGTTCAATCATATTAGTACATTTCATACATTGTTCCAAATGATATAATGCCTCTTTTATTTTACCTTCAAGCAAGAATATAAAATGTATATGCCAATAGGCAGATGATAATTTTGATTCAATTTGAATAGATTTAAGAAGATCAGCCTTAGCATCTTGTAATCTTCCAATCTAAAAGGATATAAATTTATAAAAGTGATTCGAAAGCATCGAAATCAAATAACATTTATTCAGGAGTGAGGCTGTTATATTTTCTAGCCGATAAGTCCTTGACTCAACTATCACTATACATACATTACTATAATATTCACGGCCATCCAGTTTTTCCAGGTTTTCCATGGTAGTCTAGCTTCAATTGACCCATGACCTCAACTATTGAAATTAATTGTAGTATAAACGGAATACACCCATTATGACATTAAATAAGAAAGAAAGATTAGTTCAGCGAAGAGTTCTCTTTTCGGCGAATTCGCCGAAAAGAGAACTCTTCGCTGAACTAATCTTTCTTTCTTATTTAATTGTAGTATGTCACGATGATATACTAGAAGGCTCTATCAGGTTCTGATTAGATGGAATCACTTCGACTCCTTTAGAGCATATAAAGACTTGATCGTACTTTTTGAAGCCGGCCGAACAGTTTACAATTGCCTTCATGTTGTTTAGATTCATGTTTCATTTGACAACAATTGTACCGAAATGTGATGTAATCTCGTTCGAGTGTAGAACTTATCAATTACTTATATGAAACAATGAATATCTGAGATACTTCATTTGCAAATCCCCCCGCTCAAGTTTTATCATTCCTTCATTGTTATATCAGTTACTCACTGTTCTCATTCACTTTGATTTGATCTTCTTAACTTTCGGATATCAGGCATTTTACTTCTGATTAGTGTTTTCTACTACTTATATATGTCAATATAAGTAGCTAACAATACCACGTCCTTATTTGATCATTTTAGAATGAAATATACAAAATGTTTCTGTATAGGTGAGTATGAGAATGAAAAAAAAGTTTGTTGTTCAGTAAAATTTATGCTGTAGTTAGTTTGTTCCAGTATTCTGTTACATAGCTTCTGAAATGATTGTAATTGTGATGTGTGCTACTGATATCGACAGATATAAGTAGTATGTACCATCGATTGAAAGTGAAATATCTGGTGGTAGAAGGTTAATAAGATCAAAGAAAAAAGAACGAGAACAGCGAATGAATGGTGTGGAAACGAAGGAACAGTAAAGTCTTTAATGTGGCTTGTATTCAAACGACTACGCCTAGAAATTTTTCTCTCAATATTGTTTTATTTTTGCGCTTTTACCTCCTCGCGAATTCAAACCTACGCTTACTTATCTTCTTGTTTTTTCTATTTGTATTCTTACTACGCTCGTTCTTACACAATTTGATGATGTACTTACTTACGCCTGTTACCCTTCATGGAGGAGCATAGGTCACTCACTAGTATTCTCCATCGAACTCTGTCCAGGACAATACGCTTCTTTCCAGTCGCTATTCATCCCTTTCCTATCTCCTTTCAATTCCCTAAGCAGCGTGTTCTTTGGTCTTCCGCTTTTTCGTTTCCATTCAGGATTCCAAGTTAGCGCTTGCCTTGTGATGCAGTTTGGTGATTACGGTGATGTGCGTCTTATCTACTTCCAACGTCTTTTACTGATTTTACTCCTCAGCTGAAAGCTGATTTGTCCTCTCCCATGGTAGGCTGTTACTGATGATATCTAGCCAATGGATGTTGAAGTATCTTGCGTAGACAACTACTTATCAATACTTGTACCTCCTTGATGACGGTTGTAGTAATTCTCCATGTTTCAGCTCCGTACAGTAGAACTGTCTTGATGTTCGTATAGAAGATTGTGACCTTGATATTGGTTGAAAGTTGTTTTGAGTTCCATATGTTCTCCGACTGTAAGAATGTGGTCCTTGTTTTGATAATCCTCGCATTTACGTCTTCATCTGATGATGTAGCCAGATTATAAAAACCCATATTCATGTCAATAAAATATCCATATATCTCATAAAAACAGGAGCATTTAATTATGTACATCAATATAAGGAGTAAATCATCAATTTGTGTATTACTAGTATGATGTGTGCTACTGATATCGACAGATATAAGTAGTATATATGCATCATCAATTAAAAGTGAAGTACTTGGTGACAGAAGGTTGAGTAGATCGGAGAAAAGAGAACAGAGAGTGATTGATGTGGAAACAAAAGAACAATGAATTCTGAAACGATTGATTAACATTTTGCAAATGAAGTATTTACTGGATGGTTCTCAGATTTTATTAAGAGATTCCGTAGTTGTGTGTTCTAATACATTCGATTGTCTCTACTTGTGTATTCTTGTTCACTACACCAGCATTACCTAAATGTACATTACTACAGCCCTATTTTTTTGATAAACACTTGAATTAGTCAGTCAGTCAGTCAGCTAAAACGTAGGACCAGGAACATAAATGCGACGGTCCAAGTTGTCACATCTCATTAGCACAGCAAGATGAACACCAGATTCATAGGAGTGGTTAAGTCAATGGTGGTAATATATAAAAGAAAGATCGCATATAAGAATATAGTACAGGAAGAAAGAATTAGTTCGTAGAAAGAAAGATATAAAGCAATTTTAATCTCTTAGTTTAAGGGAAGACAGAGAGTGTATACACACCTACGCGATTGAGATCGATTCTGAGCCATGTCACCAAGAGTCTCTAATCATTGGTTACGACAGTCACATGGATCTTAACCAATTAGTCTGCATCTACCAACATGGCTCAGACTAGAAGTTAGTGACTTTATGGACTGATGCCACATTTTGATTTGGTCGCCCCTAACTACTTGAATTAGTACACTTTGATTGTTAACATTATTAAAAATGAAGTACAGAAACAAAACAAAACAAACAATACAATACTTACTTTTCTATATAATGCACCACGTCTACATAAATCAAATCCTAATTTGGTCGTCGATGGATTTTTGTTGATTTCATATGTAAGATTTTCTATTTCATTTGTAACTAACTGATAAGTAATTATCGTAATAGAAAACAATGAAATATGTTAGTGTATGGAGCATAGTTTAAAGTTTTATGGGTTATATATCATGAACTAGTTATATAATATATCATTGTGGGCCAGGGTAATTTTACATTGGTTTTCTAGAGAACCAGCCACCATCCGGACTTTCACGTGACAACCCAAACAGTACAGCTCAATACCGCTTCAAAGGAGTACAGCTCAATCCTGTGACACAACCACATAGATAACAAGCACCCTGGTGGACTATTCGCACCACTCATATACACGTTCATATCACATGTATAATAATTATTCCGATCAATGATCGCATGAATCAATTATGCACAACACGAACAGGCCAAAGTTGACCTATTCTGCTTACACAACAGTCAAATTCATTAATGTTAGCAATCGCGACATGCCTTACAATATCCCAATGACAATGACCCTTGCGAACACTGAAAAGCAACCACTAATATGAATAAAATCAGTTAACCAGGAAACCAATTTTGTGCATGAACAGTCAGTAGAACTTGCCAAAGTAATGCGGAACTATCCAAAATATCAATGGCGAACCCATCGTTTCATATGAGACCTTCAGCTCTACATAGCAATATAGCTTTATAGCTTATACTGCATACAACACATATGTAAGGTGGTAGACGAAATAGCTAGTTTGAAGCGTTAGGGCTTACAAAATACTCAAAACCCATTCATTGTCTAATGTCGGAATACTATTACTAGGAATTACGAAGCACTAAATAGCTATTTTTTTCCCAGTCAAGTATTCCTCAGTAATTTGCACCCATAGCTTTTAATGAGATTACAAATAGAATTAACTGGTTCCTAAAAGACCATATGAGCTTTAGATAAGTGAATTCATTATATAGTGACTGTTCGTTCTAGTCTCATTAGTGACTAATTTCGAAATGTTATTCCCAGAGTTCTAGTGGAAAATTGTAACTACTGAAGCTTAACTCTGCAGAGTACGAAACAGTTGCTTAACAATTACATTGTTCACTCCAGCCAGGACTCGAACCCACTACTGCCCGCTTTAAATCCCATCGAATTATCCACTTAACTACTGAGTCCTGATAGACACTTGTTTGTGAAATGGGGTGAAGTTTAAAGTCATTTTGTATTGTTTACTTGTATCTTTCTGTTGCTGTTTGGGACTGCAATTGATTAGTCTCTTATTGGAATATGTGCATCCTGTGAGGACTGCCTCGATATTGCTTGAAGTCACAAGCTTTATAAGCAAAGATAGTGGCTAACAGAAGGAAGATACAAACATTACCAAGTGAGTATGGTAATGTGGTTTGAAATCCTTTTGCGATGAATTAGACACATTCCATCCTAATATTTCTTAAAAGCTTGAGTTTAATTATTATACTATACCGTTGATGCGTCAGTTCGTTCATTCTCTCCAAAATAACTTGGTTATGTTGCAGATTTACCACTAACATTATGTTTATTTTGATACCTTATCTATTCATATGAGTTCTTCCGGGTTTGTAGTGAGATAGTAACTCACTGAAGACAATGGTGGACGGTGACACAATTTGATGGATTAGTTGAAATTAGACATTAACACTGTTGGGTGCTGGCTCAGTGGTCTAGAGGTTAAGTGTCCGCGCGCAAGACTGATAGGTCATGGGTTCGAATCTCATGAGGCGGGATCATGGCTACGTACTGCAGTGGATTTTCATACTAGGACGAATCGGCAATCCAGTGCTTCCAGGTTTTTCAAGGTGGTTTTGCTTCAATTGACTCATGATCTCAACTATTAAATCAATATTAATTGATGAAGAATAAGCTGGTCAGACAAATTATAATAGACAACAAGTAAAACTGATCATTTAATTTCAATCTGATTAAGAAGGCCTATAAAATCATTTGCACAAAATGGTGAACAATCATTAATATTTCAATGATAAATTAATTTTCACTCATTTATTACCGATTAAAAATGATTCGAAGATGTACGTTTCACACTGCTACCAAATACTCTGGTGGGGAGAGTCACTTCGTGTATACATCCATTGTCAGAGAATTCCTACTCAATGACTTCTCATGGCATTACTGTTGTTTACGGAATTGAGAGGACGAAACGGGAATGTCCGGTGCTGTAACTGGGTTGGTCGATACATAGAATCTACACAAGGGAGTTGGAAAACTTGATTCCAAACCAATGATACACATGAGCTCCAGTATCCTGGAAGAATAAATGGGATATGAATCTATTGTTGATGACGAGCTACCATGAGATTGCATCTTCTGACGTTGCTCTACTACCTTGTGGATTAGACCTTTTAGGTCAATGGCTCTGGATATGGTTCCCACCTGCTTCGGTCTGGACACTCACGAAGTATTCCAACCCTCATACAAATCAATAATATCATTTTAGGGGTTGTGGAGATTATTAAGTTATTGATTGAGATCATGAACCGATTGATGTTAAACTACCATTGAAAACCTGAAAGTACTGGATGGCCGTTTCGTCCTATTGTGTAACTCCTAAGCAGTGCTCATCCACGATCCCGCTCGTGGGATTCGAACCCAGGACTTTCAATCTCACGCGCGAACGCTCAACCTACTAGACCATTGAGTAGGCATCCAATGGTGTTAATGTCTAACCTCAACCAATCCACAAAATCGCGCGACCACCTTCCACTGTACTGAGGTGGATGCTCACTGCCGAAGAGTCCCACATTAGGACGAAACGGCCGTCCAGTGCTTCCAGGTTTTCAATGGTGGTCTAACGTCAATCGGTTCATGATCTCAATCAAAAAATCAATAATAACTACTAGCCTCATTGTTCCTATGTAGCATATATATATATATAATTAATCAATTTACTTTAATATTCGTAGATTGATCTTGTTTAGTTGATCCAAAATATTCTAAAATTGGTTCAATATTTTCTGGTAATTTTTCGATTGTTTTAATCCAATCAATTTGTAAATTATTATTATTGATTTTTAATTGATTTTGTTTATATAATTCTATATCAGATAAATTTAAATGAATCGATTGTGTAGTTGTTATAGTTGGATTATTTAAATTTTGAGGAGTTTTGTTGTCATGGTGATTAGATATATTCATTGATTTTGTATGAGAAATTGTTTCCAAATCATCCCTTCATAAGAAATAATAACAGTAATAATAATCGATATTATTTACCTTTTACTTATCAAAAATGTAGGTTCAAATAATTCATTGTTTTAAACTTACTTACACCTGTGGTCAACCCTTATAAAGAAGTATAGACCTTAAGAGTTGTGTCGAACGGCAAACAGGCAAGCGAGCGACTGAGCGAATGTAAGTAATCGAGTACAATCAAGCGAACAAGAAAGCAGAGTCAACCATATAAATAACATGGACATATATATAGCATGTGAAATTAATGAGTAATCGAATCAAATAAGCGGTTAGTAGTGAGACTAGCAGAGTGACATAAATGCGTAGGCCGTAAGCAATATTCAAGCATGCGTATTTCATACAAGCACAAAATAATAATAAGGGTACAATAAATTGTTATAGTGCGGATGGCTTTGTCCGCTAAATAAGTGAGCAAAAGGGCTTAACTGAGTTAAATGATAATAAACCCATTTGCACGTGAGTCGCTATAGACCGTTCTCCATCCAATCCTAGCATGGGCAATCTTTTCCAGTTGCTATTCATCTTTTTCATATTTGCTACCAATTATTGAAACAATATGTTCTTTGACCTTCCACTTTTTCGTTTCGCTTCAGGATTTCTAGTTAGCACTTGTTTCATGATTTATAGTTTGATGATTTCCGTAATGTATGTCCTATCTACTTCCAACATCTTTTCCTAATTTACTTCTCAGCTGGAAATTGATTTGTTTTTTTTTTTTCACAGTAGACTGTTGCTGATGGTATGTGGCCAACGGATATTGAGTGTCTTACGTAGACAACTGTTTATAAATACTTGTGTCTTTTTTTATAATGGCTGTGGTTATTTTCTGCGGGATAGAGTCACCAATCCTACGCCTAACTCTCCTCTTTAATCCCGAGCTTTTGACTAGCAGTAGCCTTAGAAGAGTTACAGGCGGAGTTAATGTTTTAAAAAGACTTTCTTATACTTCATGATAATCTTTGTTAATCTAAATATTATTACATAATTCATGTTTTAATAATAATAATTAGCCATTGTGAAATCCTACTTTCTATATTGTTTTATTCCATATGTAGATGACGTTTAATAGTGTGGAGAACGAGAAGATAAATGGAAACAGTCAAATGTATTTGAATACGAAGTTGTTTCATCCTCTTTGCGACTCGTCAGCTAGATGTACCTACATCTCAGAGTTGATGTTCACTCCAGACGAAACTCTAACACAGTACCGTTCGATTCAAACGCCATCGTGTTATCGACTTAGCGACTGAGTTCTGATAGCTACTTGGTTTTGCGATGTAGTGAAGTTTAAATTCACTTGGTGTTGTTTTACTTGTATCTTCCCATTGATATTTAGGACTGCAAATGATCAGTCTGTTATTGGCATACATGGCGTTTGAAGAGAACGGTGCTGGGTTGGAGTCCCAGAGTGAACATCAACTATGGGATGCAGGTACATCCAGTTGTCGAATCATAAATAGGACGAAACGCGCTTTGTCCTGGATTCCACTGTTAGCCACTATCCATTTTGTTATGTTCAATTGCTTCATCTAAATTGTATATTACCATTCAAGAGATTTATGTTAACATAATGAAAAGTCTAATATCAGAATGGGTTTTGTGGAGATTTTTAGAAATTTCACTGGTTGAAATCATGAGTCAATTGAAGCTAGACTATCATGGAAAATCTGGAAGCACTGAACGGCCGTTTCATCCTAGTATAATGAATCTTAGTCTGATTATAATCATCATATGCTTACTAGTGACTGGTTTCAAGAGGTATTTTCTGGAGTTCTAGTGAGAAGCAGTGACCAGTGGAGTTCAACCAGGTCTGTTTTGAGATATTAATTCACAATGGTGAATGGTGGAGCAATTTTTTAGATTGGTTGAAGTTAGACATTAACAAAGTTGGATGCCAGCTCAGTGGTGTAGAAGTTAAGCGTTCGTGTGTGAGACTGATAAATCCTGGGTTGTAATCTCGCAAGGCGGGATCGTCGATGTGCACTGTTGAGGAGTCCTATAGTAGGATGAAACGGTCGTCCAGTGCTTCCAGCTTTTCAATGGTGATCTAGCTTCAATTGACTCGTGAATTCAATCATTAGATTAATACAAACTCCACAAAACCCCTCTCTGATTAAAACAAATAAATAACTTAAAAAGTTCAATGGAGAGACTATAATTTATGTATGAATCAATCAAATATAAGATAACAGGTCTTAGATGTTGGCGCGAAATTCATTCATCCATTTGACTAAATAGCATCTTGATATTTTAGTTGATATCATTTCGTGATGCAAACTCTAAATCTAATGAGGGTAAACCTCACAATTGATTGATCACTGGGTGGTGTCGAGTCACCTAAACTGGTGGCCACATTGCAACATGGTCGATAGAATTCGATCTACACTAAATAAGGATTTGACACACATGACATTGATCACAACCCAGTGATCGACCAATTGTGATTACATCTCAGTCCTACAGGAGGTCAATCGTGGCCCGGATAGATCAGTGGTAGCGTCTCTGATTGTGGGTCCGGGTGACACGGGATCGAATCCGCCAGGGAGCGCTAGTTCTCTCAAGATTACAGGTACACCTTGCTGACGAGGGTTAGCCTCATTTACTCTTAGAACTTAGGTGAACACTCTCAAGGTCACTTTAGCGTTGCTCAAAGGTCATCCATAAATAATAGTCTTATCACTTCAACAACTAACATTCAAATAAAACAAACTTACATGTGATTCTTAGTATTATGTACAATACAATCATCATTCGAATGGATTGTTGTAACTAAAACAATTAAAACAATTATGATTATTCTAAATGAAATTTATCATTAAAATGATACTATAGAATAATCATATAGAATATCATGTAGTGAATGACTCTCCTAGGTGAACTCTTCGTGTCAACCAACCTGATTAAAGCGCCGAAAATTCGTTTTTCGTCCTGTCAATTTCGTAAAACACCTCCCCACCACCACCACGAGAAGGGAGTGAGTAAGATTTCCCTGACAGTGGTTGTATGCATGTGGGTATGTGAGAGCATTTCGAGAGGGAGAACTGACTTTCCACACCCTCGGGCGTACCACGGTATTTGGGAGCTAAGTGTAGCGTCATGAATGGGAAGTGTATTGTCAGAGTGGAAGACTAAATTTTACTTTGATTATGCTTTGGGAAGTTTAACTGAATCTCACAAACTTGTGGTTAAGAAGTATGTAAATACTTATTGTTCAATATATATCCCATACATTCAAACTATTCACAACTCGAGGATTGTGTGGAATGTTTTTTAATCTTAAACTTTCATTTGCATTCACTATTAACATGAGATATCTGATTACCAAAACTTTTCTGAATAACTTAATGTAAGAGGCCAAACCAGCTTCCAGTAAAAGGGGGAAATAGGAAAAGACGTTGGAAATGGGTAGAACATGCATTACGGAAATCAGCTAACTGTATCTTGAGAGAAGCCCCAACTTGCAATCCTGAAGCGAAACACAAAAGAGCAAGGTCGAAGAACATGCTGAGTCGAGAATTGGAAGCAGAAATGAAAAAGATGAATAGCAACTGAACAGCATTACCCAGGACAGAGTTGGATGAAGAATCTTAGTGGGAGGCCTATACTCCTCTACGAGGGATAACAGGCATAAGTAAGTAAGATGTTAGCTGCTTATCTGTTAAAGCTGTGCCATTCAACGTCTCTAACCATCGGTTGCTATCGTCTCGCAGATCCTAACTAGATAGTCTACACCCACTAACATGGCTGAGTCCACCTGTCAGTGACTTCATGGATTTGTGGCACGTTTTGGTCTGGCCATCCCTAGTTTCCTTCCAACCTACTCCTACACCATAAAACATCGCACGTTGGGGCAGTCGGTGGTTGGGCATACGTAATACGTGTCCCAGCTATCTCAAGTGGTGAAGTTTCAATACTTCATCAATTGATTTGTCATCCTTACATAATACCCGTTTCGTAACTACTGCGTTACTTATTCGATGGTCCCAGGATATAAGAGCAACGTTTCGGAGACATCTAGGATCGAATACTAGTAACCTATGAATATCCTATACGCTTACCGGCCATGTTTCACTGCCATAAAGTAGGACTGAACGAGCTGCTGCACAGTAAACACGTCCTTTGTTTGGTAGACGGATATCTCGCCTACGCTATAAATGACGCAAGTTGGCAAAAGCTAGTCGAGCCTTCTGTATCCGTGCTGAGATTTCGTCACACACTAGACCACAAGGGCTGATGAGACTTCCAAGATAAGTGAAGCGGTCGATACACTCAACTACTTCACTCCCTATCATTAGTTCGAGGGTCGATGCAACCAAATCCTGAAGCAACATTTTACATTTCGACGGGGAGAATCGCATCCCGAACATGGCTGCAATGTTGCTTAGAGTGGTCAGAAGACTGCATTTTGTCAGCGTCTTCACCAAATAGAACGCTGTCATCGGCATATTCCAATTCCACAAGTGAATCTCCTGGTAGAAGTTCAACCCCTGGAAATTTAGATGAGGAAAGTGTTATCTCTAAAAGCACGTCAACGACAAAGTTAAACAAGAATGGAGAGAGTGGACAGCCCTGACAAACACCACTTGAAGTACTCAATTCTGATGACAGTTCGCCATAAGCTCTCACTTGACCGGTTGTGTTCGAGTGGAGAGCCTTTATAAGGTTAATGTACTTCTTTGGTACTCCTTTTAGTGACAAACACTGCCACAGAACCTCAGTACATTGGAAGATGCTCGAACAATTAAATGGATTGGTTGATGTTAGACACTAACACAATTGGGTGCCGGCTCAGTGGTCCAGTTGGTTAAGCGTTCGCGCACGAGACTCAAGGCCCTGGGTTCGGATCCTGCGAGCAGGATCATGGATACGCACCGCTGAGGAGCCCCACAATAGGACGAAAAGGCCGCCCAGTGCTTCCAAGTTTCCAACGATGGTCTAACATCAATCGGTTCATGATCTCAATCAAAAACTTAATAATCTCCACAACCCCTATACTGATGATCAATTTCAGTCCTGAATAACAATGGAAAGATGCAAGTAAAACAAAACCAAGTGAATTTAAAATTCACTCCATTGCACAACCAAGTAGCTATCAGAACTCAGTCGCTAAGTAGATAACACGATGGCGTTTGAATCGAACGGTACAGTGTTAGTTTCGTCTGGAGTGAACATCAACTCTGAGATGTAGGTACATCTAGCTGACGAGTCGCAAAGAGGATGAAAAATGAGTGCTAGATTCCACTGCTAACCACTATCCATCTTTACTTATAATCATATTTTATATTTTAAAAAAAGTTCAGGTTACTTACAGATTTTATTCTTTTCGTTGGAATTACAATCTTCTGGTGATATCTTGTCTTCCAGATTATCAATAGTCTGTTCTTCCATATCTAATATTAACTTTCTTTGTTGGGTTAACTGGATAGAATTGACAGAACAGAAAAAGATAGTGAGTTGGATAGTGTGCAAAAGTTTGGAAAAACAAACAAACACCACAAAATGGTAGAACCTAAACAATTAAGGCATCGAAGAGATTTAGATTGACTGATAAGACTAGCTGTTTTTCACATTGATCGAAATAACAAATATGAACTATTGAGATCGAATTCCATTTTCCGATAATATCCTATTCCGTCCTAGATGAAGTGGTAAGTTAGCATTTCTGAAGCGTCCTAAACTAAACTTGATACAGATATACAGTGTCATCTATTCTTCATTACATTTTGGCTAAAGAATGTATATTTTTTAATATTTCAATAATTGGAAATGCTCAAGAACAAATGATGCTGGCACTCTTGATGTTAGTTACTTCAATATTCATCTAAACAAAACATTTATCTTTTTGATTGAAATCATGAGTCAATTGAAGCTAGAATGCCATGGAAAACCTGGAAGCACTAAACAGTCGTTTCGTCCTATTGTGGGACTCCTCAGAAGTGCGCATACCACGACCTCGCCCTCTACGAGATTCGAACTCAGGACCTACTGGTTTCACGCGCGAGCACTTAATCACTAGACTATTAGACTCATGGCCTTAACCATTGAAATTACTATAATATACACAAAACCCATCTGATATTAATCAATAAATGGTATAAAATTTTGAAAGATATTTTTAAAGCTGATTATATTTGATTACTGTATTACAATTTTACTGGACATTAAAAGTTGAATGCTCTGCTACATTTTAACCCCATATATATTTTACAAGAAAATATGGATGGTGGCTAGCAGTAGAATACAGGACAAAGGGCGTTTCGTCCTATTTAGGACTCGTCAGCTAGATGTAACTGCATATCACAGTTGATGTTCATTTTAAGACTCCAAAACAGTACCGTTCTCTTCAAACGCTACATATGCCAATAACAGACTTATCAATTGCAGTCCTAAACATCAATGGGAAGATTCAAGTAAACGACAACAAGTAAATTTAAAATTCACTCCATTGAACAACCAAGTGGCTATCAGAACTCAATAGTCAAGTGAATAATGTTATGGCGTTTGAAACGAACAGTACCCGGTTTGAGTCCTTGCTGGAGTGAACATCAACTCTGAGATGCAGGTACATCTAGCTGACGAGTCTCAAACAAAACGGAACACATGTCCTAGAATTCATTGCTAGTCACAATACATCTTTGTTTAGAATACTTGTGAATTAAGGCAATATGGAGGCGATCCGTACAGTAGGCATACATAGCAATAAGAGACTGATCAGTTGCAGTCTTAAACATCAATGGGAAGATTCAAGTGCACAATAACAAGTGCATCTATTTTACAGTTCGACAAAGTTTGTTCTTAGAATGTATCAATGTTTATGACTAACAAAACTGGAGATCTTGAAATCTTAGTTATCAATATTGGTAGCGAAGTCGATTAATATTTATAGTAAGAATTATTCTGAAGTTAATTAATCATTCATTATACTATTTACTTACTTACGTACGCCTGTTACTCCTCGTGAAGAAGTATAGGCCGCTCACTAGCATTCTTCATCCAACCCTGTCCTGGGCAATCCTTCCAAGCTCCTTCCATTTGTCATTCATCCTTTTCATATCTGCTTCTATTTCCCGACGTAATGTGTTCTTTGGCCTTTCTCTTTTGCGCTTCCCTTCAGGATTCCAAGTTAGGGCTTGCCTCGTGACGTAGTTTGATGATTTGCGTAATGTATGTCTTATCTATTTCCATCGTCTTTTCCTAATTTCTTCTTCAGCTGGAAGCTAGTGATAATTAGCGCTTACACTATTCCACTAATGTTATTTATACAGTAATGAAAGTCAGTTCTAGCGTACGGAGTTGAAACTCGGAGAACTACTAAAACCATCATCAAGAACGTACAAGTACTTGTAAATAGTTTTCTACGTAAGATACCTAATGTCTGTTAACAGGATACTATCAGTGATAGCCTACTATGGATGAGAATAAACCAACTTTCAACTGAAGAAGTTATAAAAATACGGTAGAAACGAGCTAGACATACATTACGGAAATCGTCAAACTGTATCACAAGACAATCGCTAACTTGAAATCCTGAAGGGAAACAGAAAAGAGAAAGGCCATAGAACACAATGAGTCAGAAATCGGAAGCAGACATCAAAGGGATGAATAGCAAATAGAAACAAATGTAAAGGATACTTAAAGAAAATGGAATCAATAAATGAAGAACATTTATTGATCAATTAACCAATATTATAAACTTACTTCATGTAATATACTTGAAAAATTTTGATTGATAACCAATTCACCAGTTGGTTGATTCATTAAATTCGGTGAACTATGATATAAGTTGCTGAATTCAGGTTGCCATGGTAACTAAAATAAATTAAAATAAATCGAATAGTATTCAGTGAATTCTTATTCTAAATGTTATGTCATGTCATGTCATTGAACATTCAATCTCTGCTATGATGATCTCAATTATTAATAACTAAATACAATTCAACTGGGGTAAGCATAGGATACAGTGGATAGCTAGGATGCAGCTAGACGATCTAGACTTTGCCGATGATCTGGTTCTTCTATTACACATACAACAACAAATGCATGAGGAGATGACTAGAGTAGCAGCAGACTTAACAGTAGTAGGTCTCAACATACACAAAGGGAAAAGCAGGATTCTCCGATACAACACAGCATGCACTAATCGAATCACACTTGACGGAGAAGCTTTGGAGGGAGTAAAAAATGTTAAATATCCGGGGAGCATCATTAATGAACACAGTGGATCTGATGCAGACGTGAAAGCGCAGATCGGCAAACCAGGAGCAGTATATCTACAACTGAAGAACATCTGGTACTCGAAACAATTGCCAACAAACACCAAAGTCAGAATTTTCAATACAAATGTCAAAACAGTTCTACTTTATGGGATGGACACTTGGAGAGCCACGAAAGCCATCATCCAGAAGATACAGGTGTTTATTTACAGTCATCTACACAAAATACTTAGGATCCATTGACCAGAGACTATCAGTAACAATCTACTGTGGTAGAGAATAAACCAGATTCCAACGGGGGAAGAAATCAGGAAGAAGTGCTGGAATTGGATAGGACACACATTGAAGAAAGCACTGAACTGCGTCAAAACGCAAGCCTTCATCTGAAACTTTCAAGGTCAAAGGAGGAGAAGAAGACCAAAGAATACATTACTACGATAAAATGGAGACAGATATGAGAAGAATGAACAACAACAGGATAGAACTAGAATGAAAGGCCCAGGAAAGAGTGTGTTGAAGAATGCTGATCAGCGGCCTAAGTAAATACAATCCAAACTGTACATACATACTTTCGAAATAAATGCAGTCAATCATTTATAAATAACGTAGGACTTGCAATATATATATATATAATAATATATATATATATATATATATATAAGTCCAAGGTTCGGATCTCGAGAGCGTGATCATAGATACGCACAGCTAAATAGTCCCATACTAGGATGAAACGACCGTTCAGTGTTTCTACGTTTTCCATGGTTGTCTAGCTTTAATTGATTCATGATTCCAACTATTAAAATTACTATAATATCCACAAAAACCCCTTCTGATACTCATCAACATATACTCATTAGTGAATAGCTTCAAGAGGTATTTCCTGGAATTCTAGTGGGAAGTGACTTGTGGAATTCAACTGAGTCTGTTGTGAGATAGTAACTCACTGAAGACAATGCTGGATGTGTCGCTCAATTTCGTCGATTATTTGAAGTTAGACATTAACACCGTGGGATGCCATCTCAGTGGTCTACAGATTAAGCATTCACGCGCGAGATCTATGATCCTGGGTTCGAATCGCGTAGGCGGGGACATGGTTGCGCACAGTTAAAGAGTCCCATACTAGGACGAAACGGAGATTCAGTGCTTCTAGATTTTCAATGATTGTCTAGCTCATGAATTCAACTATTAAATAGTTTTATGGTCGAAATAACACATTCAGTTCTAAAGATAACCGTTGTATTGTTCAAAGAGTTGAATCGAGAGAAGACATATCCATGAATGTTATTTTGTGTTGAATCGATACTTATTTCTAGAAATCACGTTAATGAGTGATATATTGATGATAAAATTTCTCGATGAATGTTGAATAAATGGGTTTTGTGAAGAGATCATGCCTTTAGTCATTGGTGGGATGTAATTTACTGAAGTCCCATACTAAACTGAATCAATAAACTATTGCTATTAATCGTACCTCCTACTGGTGTAATTCATCGTCGACTACCACTTTCAAATCCGAGATAGGTTTCGGTTTATGTTGTCAGTAAAAATATGAATACTGATGGCTTTACCATGATCAGCAGGTTCAGTCAGCTTAAGATATATGTGAGTGATTGTTATGTTTTTTGACATAATAGACAAAAGGCTATCTGAAATTTGATCCTTTTTCAGTCTCCAATCTGAGAACGCTGCCTTAACAAAATAAACAGATTGACAGTGAATGGATAGATGGAGGCAATCCAAGCCACTCATGGATATTCGCTTTTCTCATGTTTGATATCAATCCCAATTGTTAATATGAGTATGTGCAACTGAATGAGTTGTATATTCAATAATTAACTGACACGGCCACGCGTATACAGCCTCTGCCAGGGAAGTCCTACTATACAGCCTCTGCCAGGGAAGTCCTACTCATTGCTTTCTCGTGTGGAATGTCTCAACTCTGGAATGCAGGCACATCCATTAGAGGAATCTGAAGCAGGAAGAGACGCACAGCTTGGATTCTACTGCTGTACACTACCAAACTTAGCTTATCATTCTTGTGACTTAAGGAAATCCACACAGGATGCACATATGCCAATAAGAGATTGGCCAACTTCAGTCCTGAACGTAAATAGGTAGGTCCAAACAATTAATAGTCATCTGAATCGTGATTCATGAATTGGAAATTCATCAAGTAGCGCTCCAATTGACTTGTTTTCTCTTCCTTTTCTCTCTTACTTGTTGACCAATCAGGTGATAGGATAGTTGTTGTCAATTTGCCTAACGCCATTAGTTTCAATTTGAACTCAAGTATTTCATACCCCAAGTTTGAAGCAGTTAGCCTATTGTATCAGGACCTTAACTTATAACAAGACAAGTTCTTTCATGTATTTCACTGGTTGAAATCATGAGTCAATTGAAGCTAGACCACCATGGAAAACCTGGAAGCACTGGACGGCAGTTTCGTCCTAGTATGGGGCTCCTCAGCAGTGTGCATCCACGATCCCATCCCCCGCAAGATTCGAACCCAGGACCTGCCAATCTCGCGCCAGGCGCTTAACCAACTAGACCACTGAGCTGGCATTAGGTAAACAAATCAAGGACATAATAAAATCAATAACTTACTTTGAAATTGTTAATATCACAACTTTTAGATCGATTCAAGCGTAAACTGTAATAAAAATGATAAAGAATAAAACTACATTGAAGTTGCATTGAATATGGATATAAATTTGACTTAAAAGATGTTCACGTTCATGGATACTTATGTTCTAAGAATATCAGAGATTTCCTATGACGCTAACACAATCAAATTGTAGATTAACAGAGGCTAAAGAAGTTAATCAAGAACTTACTTACTCAAGTTACTCCTTGTGGAGAAGCATTGGTCGATCACTAGCACTCTCCATCCAACCTTGTTATGTGCAATCCTTTCCAGTTGCTATTCAACCTTTTCATATCTACTTTCATTTCCCGATGCAGTGTGTTCTTTGGCCTTCGTCTTTTTCGTTTTCCTTCAACATTCCAAGTTAGTGCTTGCCTCGTGATTCAGTTTGGTGATTTCCGTAATGTAAGTCCTATCCACTTCCAACATCTTTTGATAAATTCTCCTTCAGTCGGAAACTTGTTTGTTCTCAACTACAGTAGGCTGTTGCAGATGGTATCCAATCATTGGACATTGAGTATCTTGAGTAGACAACTATTTATAAATAATTGTACATTTTTGATGATGGTTGTAGTAGTTTTCCAAGATTCAGCTCCATACAGTAGGACTGTCTTGACTTTCGTATTGAAGATTCTGACTTTGATATTGGTTGACAGTTAGTTTGAGTTCCACATGTTCTTCAATTGTAGGAATGCTGTTCTTGCTTTGATAATCCTCACCTTTACATCTACATCAGATTCTCCTCGTTAATGGATGATGTTTCCCAGGTACGTGAAGGATTCCACCTCTTCTAGAGCTTCTTCGTCAGTTGTTACGGAGTTGGTGTTCTCAATAAAAATTTGAGAAGCTTTCTTTTTCCTCTGAGTATGTTGAAGTCCACTGATGCAAAGACTGCTGCTACACTATTTGTCTTCATCTGTATTTGTTGTTGTGAATGGAATAGAAGGAGCAGGTCATCTGTGAAGTCCAAACCGCCCTGTTGCATTCAAAATATCCGTTGTATTCTGTCATTCCCATCAGATGTGGAAATCTTCATAATCCAGTCGACCAACACCAGAAGAAAATGAAAGGTAAGGAGTAAGCAGCTTTGTCTGAAGATAATCCTTACTTGGAATGCATCTTTCAACTATCCTCCCCACACGACATTGCAGTGTTGTCTGTCATATGAATTTCAGATGATATTGACAATCTTCTCAGGTACACCATATTGTCACATAAGTTTTACATAAAGCCCTCTTATCCACACTTTCAAATGCTTTGTCACAGTCAAAGAAGTCAATGTATATTGACGAGTCTAGACTAACAGTCATCATATTATAATGAAGCCATCCAGATAAGAAAACATCAAAACCTCTCATAAATAGTTAGCAATATAGATTGTGTTGACAGATTATTTACACAATGAATAAGCATTCGAATAGAAAGACTTTAATCACTATAACACAAATGGTTTACTAAATCACTGACCATTGAAAACATTGATGGAAGCTAAGCAATGTGAAATATATTTACAGTTATATAATATACCCTTGTGGACCAGGGTGATTTTACGTTGGTTTTCAAGAGAACCAGACATCATCCAGACTTTCACTTGACAACCCAAACAGTATAGCTCAGTCCCGCTTCAAAGGAGAACCAAACACCATATAGGCTTTAACGCTACAATCTGAATAGTACAGATCAATCCTGTGACACAACCACATAGGTACAAAGCACCCTGGTGCACCATTCGCACCATACATATACACATTCATATTACATGTATAATAATTATTCCGATCAATGATCGCATGAATCAATTATGCACAACACGAGCAGGCAAAGTTGACCTATTCCGCTTACACAACAGTCAAACTCATTAATGTTAGCAATGGCGACATGCCTTACAATGTTTCAATCATAATGGCCCTTAAGAACAGTGAAGAGCAGTCACCAGTATGAGTGAAATCCGTTAACCAGCAAACCAATTTTGTGCATGAACAGTCAGTAAAACTTGCCAAAGCAATGCCAAACAATCCACAATATCAATGGTGAACCTCCAGTCTCATATGAGACCTTCAGTTGTAAATAGCCATATAGCTTGTGAAATATACCATGTACAAATAACTTACTTTGAATTTGTTTTCTGGTTAATCCGACTATTTCCTTCTAATAATGAATCTAATGGGAACCAAGGTTCAATTGGTTCACGTATACCATATGAACAACATTTCTTTGTTGTATTAGGACATAAAATTGGTACCTTTTCTACATGAATAAAAATATCAACAAAATATTTTAGAATTATTTAAATTACAACATTACTGCTATGGGAAAATAGTCAATTCACTTGTTATTACACAAGCTAGTGTCTATCAGGACAGTGTGATGGTACGGCTGAGGGTGAGGAGAGTTAGCTCTCTCTCTCCAAATGCTCTTACATGGCCAGGTGCATACAACCACTGACAGGGAAGTCCTACTCACTGCTTTCTCGCGGTGGGTGTGTTGCTTACGAAGTTGAGAGGACGCTTTACCCGGGCTGGTGAACAAATAGAGGAGGTGGGAAACTCTGATCCCAACCCAATAATACACATGTGCTCCAGTATCCTGAGGGAAGGAATGGAGTATGAATCAACTGTTGGTCAGTGATTACCATGGGACTTCATTTTTTAAAGTTGCTCCACTGCCTTCTGGATCAGACCTTTATGTCGAAGGCTGAGTGTGTGGCCCCCTAACAAAACCAACTGCTTCAGTCTGAACACCTAGGCAGTATTACAGCCAGTAGAACGACATCAATCCAACGACTTTACCAAATCATTGACTCAGTAGTAGCGATCGGTGGTGTTTTTGATGGAGTTTTGTCCTCTGAGCTGAATGGTTTGGTCATAGAGCTTTCATCGTTCTTCTGAATGACATCATCAGTACAAACTTCAGATTGAAGTGAAGTGTTCCAATTTCTCCACATGTGATTCATACCTTGTTCAGTACACCTTAATGTTGATCGATTCTTACTGACTTCAAACCTGTTATTGTTTACTTCTTTGTTTTGGTTATATCTTCCATTAGTTTGATCTATATTCATATATTTGTACATAATTTTCCTGCTTGGTTGATAAATTGGATCGATTTCAATGTGCTTGTTTATTGCTGATGTCGTTAAAAAAAACAATGAAAGTTCCACGATCAAACCTACCAACTCAGAGAATAAAGCTCCATTGAAATCATCCACTTGATCTACATATCTTCTCCAACATCTCAAGATCAGCGGTGTATACGTTAGCTTGGTGGTATTTATCTTAGGCTTCAATGGTTATTCATTTGAATTATATTACTTATTAATACTACTAACCTGTAATAGACTTTAGATGCTTTCTTTTCATAGTATTCTTTTCCTATTTACAATGAAACGAAAATCATTAATTCATTATGAATAATATCAAATGGGTTTTGTGGATATAATAGTAATTTCAATGGTTAAAAATCATGCGTCAGTTGAAGTTAGATCACCATGGAAAACCTGGAAGCACTGGACGGCTGTTTCGTCCTATTGTGGGACTCCTCAGCAGTGTGCGTCTATGACTTCGCTCCCTGCGAGACTCGAACCCAGGACCTACTTGTTTCACGCGTGAGCACGTAACCACTAGACCACTGATCCGGTTGGCATCCGACGGTGTTAATGTCTAACTCCAAATAATCCACGAAATTGAGTGACACATCCACCATTGTCTTCAGTGAGTTACTATCTCACAACAGACCTGGTTGAACTCCACTGGTCACTACTTCTCACTGGAACTCCAGGATATACCTCTTGAAGCCAGTCACTAGTGAGCATATGTTGATTAATATCAGATGGGTTTTGTGGAAACTGTAGCAAATTCAATGGTAATCTAGTGGTTGAGTGCTCGCGCGCGAAACCAATAGGTCCTGAGTTCGAATCTCGCAGGGGGCGAGGTCGTGGATACGCACTGCTGAGGAGTCCCACAATAGGGCGAAACGGCCATCCGGTGCTTCCAGGTTTTCCATGGTGATCTAGCTTCAACTGACGCATGATCTTAACCATTGAAATCATTATGGTTATTTTATTATATCAATTATGAAGTTCTTATAACTTGTGACCATTGTAACCTCTATCAATATATTTCACGTGATGATACCGCCAATTAGATTATAGTGATTTATCGACCGGATCAATGATGCATCAAATATATACGAGCAGTCTACAGTGTTTATCGATTCTTTTTTCTGATTAGCTCTGTCTATCTGTTTAGTCTAGAACAACAATCTCAGCCTCCATGATATGAATGATGTATTTCAAGCATACTCGGTTTATATACAAACCAAACAGACAACATCGTATTATAAAATGGAAAATAACATTTGTACAAGATCTAACCAAAAGTCGGTGTGAATGTGGAAGACTGTAATGAACAGACTGGGCATAATTCAACAATGGTAAGTCGTATAATAATAGTCTATGAGTTAAGTTACATAACACTTATACAATATATGTATTGTATTGGTTTATAAATAGATCCCAATAGTTATCATTCATTAATCTCATTGAGATATAACAGAGGTCAATCAGTTATTCAGCTGAAACAATAACCTCTGTGAGCCTTTTGAATAAAATCAAGAGTGTATACTTTATTAAAGTAACATATATCAGTCAGTCAGTCAGTCAGTCAGTAACAACGTGGAACTTCGTACGTACGTACATCAGTTCGAGTTGCCACACCGTATTAGCACAGAAATGCAGTTGTCGAATCAAATTCCGTAGTGGTAGAGGTAGTAATAGTATAAGCAAAACTACCCATTCATAAGTAGGATGAATTCAATGAATGATCCATTTTCTAAAATTCTTTATGTTTACAATCTAATACAACTAAGCTACAGTATTATGAATGTTAATGTATATATTCAATAAGTATGGTTGATAACTGCTTCTCTTTTTTTTCTCATTACGTCATCTTAAAATAAGCTAAGATAGATAGTGGTTAGCAGTGGAATCTATGACAAAACGCGTTTCGTCCTTTTCTGGATTCGTCAGCCGGATGTTTGTTTAGTGAATTGTTTCTTTTTAAGACCTAAAATTTATCTTACGGAATCTTATCCTTAGACTTGTTGTAGTATACGAGAACATAAGGTGGGATATAAGACGTTGGTTGGAGGTAGTCAACAGGAAACCCCGGACCCTGGACGCTAGTCAGCAAGGTGCACCTGTAATATTGAGAGAACTGGTGCTCCCAAAAGAAAACCACCTACTTCTGTTTGAGCACCCGAGTAGTATCCCAGCTCTCACACAAATTGAATGATTTATGTGGTCCATATCTATTTGATGCCACCTTGTATCAATGTTTGTTTCATTTACATGACTATTTTTACTATTTTAGATTAACTACTTAAAACATAGATAAGTAGTATCGAATTGTATTAAGAAATTGATTCTATTTGTCAACTTACTATTGTTTTCTTTTTAATCAAGTTATAATCAAATTTATTCTGTCCTTGAATTCCAGTCGTTTTAAAATCTCCATCTTGATATTCCCTGACAACAATCTCTTCTTTTGGATCCAACTGAATTAAATTGGTTAAGTTCTTTGTTATATCTACCTAAACAACACGATTAAATATGTCATTTTAATATTTCACGAGTTGAAATCATGTGTTAATTGAAGCTAGACCACCATAGGAAACCTGGAAACACTGGGCGGTCGTTTCGTCCTAGTATGAGACTATTCAACAGTTCGCATCCACGATCCCGCCCCTTGCAAGATTCGAACCCAGGATCTATCAGTCTCGCGCCAGGCACTTAACCAACTAGACCACTGAGACGGTTGGAATCCAACGGTGTTAATGTCTAACTTCAACCAATCCACGAAGTTGAGCCACCGTACACCATTGTCTTCAGTGAGTTGATATCTCACAACAGACCTGGGTGAACTCCACTTGTCACTACTTCTCACTAGAACTCCAGGAGTATCTTTTGAAGTCAGTTACTAGTGAGCAGATAATTATTATCAGGTGTTTTGTGGAAATTTTAATATTGACAAAACACTGAATTTTATATCAGTTTTGTGATATTGGTTTAATTGATTGGTAATGTGTATATCGACATAGTTAAAGCTTGTTCCATCTGTTAAGCCTAATGATTCTGATTTGTTAAATTTTCATGATTCTCAATAAAAGTTTGTTTCATTCATTCAGCTATAATGTAGGATTAGGCATATGCAAGTTACCATACCTCACTCATTAGCACAACAAGATGTACACCGGATTCATAGAAGTAGTTACTTAAATGGTGGCAATATATAAAAGAAAGGTTGCATATAAGGATATGATACAGGAAGAAAGAATTCTTTCGTAGAAAGAAAAATATAAAGCAATTTTAATCTCTTAGTTTAAGGGAAGACAGAGAGTGTATACACACCTACGCGATTGAGATCGATTCTGAGCCATGTCACCCAGAGTCTTCAATCATTGGTTACGACAGTTACATGGTCCTTAACCAAGTAATATGCATCTACTAATATGGCTCAGACTAGAAGTTAATGACTTTGTGGACTGATACTATATTTTGGTTTGGCCACCCATAACTTTCTTCCAACCATCTCCAAAACCGGTCGGTAATGGATTTTGATGTGAATACCTTAATACCAATTCTTTTTTGTTTTACATTGAACTTACATTTGTGTTTGGATAACTTGCTTCAAATTTCACTTGTTTGCCTACAAAAGAATATAGTTTACACATTCACAATTAATATTTATGTTCCATGAAGACGAATACGTTCATGTTAATGGTGAATAAATAATTAGATTGAATTAATTACTATCAGAAAGCGATGTTGTGGAGAGTATAGTACAGTTGAATTCATGAGTCGACTAAAGCTAGACCACCTTGGAAAACCTGAAAGTACTGGACGCCTGTTTCGTCCTAGTATAGGACTCTTCAACAATGTGCATCTATGGTCATGTCCTTTAAACAGCTAAAGCAGTAACTATCCTGATGAAGAAACCGGAGCTGAGTGTACGGACGAAATATCTTCAACTACTCCTCTTCCCCTGTTCAACCTCAAGGTCAATTATTCAATAGTAATTTTATCTCTTGAATGGCCTAATTTGACTATTGTACTTACGATCTTTCGCAGTGAACTATAATTGTCTTTCTTATCTTCATCCACATATCTTTGTATTATTATTATTATTATTACCATTATTATTATTATTGGTTAAACACCATTATCAATCTCCCCTATACATGATTCATTTACTTTGGACTCATTCTACTATTGTTCCTCTCACCCTATTTGACCTATATTCATTCTCATCATGGATCTTAATACTTTCACTTAACATATAAGCTGATTCAAGTTAACATAGTGAGACTATCATTGATGGACGAGCCAATCAGATTTGGGATAGCACGTCTTGTATTTTGGCGCAAAATTCATTCATCCATTTAGCTAAATAACGTTTTTGCTATTATAACTGATATAAGTTTGTTATGAAAAACCTTAAATCTAATTCCTAACCTTAATCGTCGACCATAAATCATAATCGTTATTCTTCAAACTGTTGTATAATCCTCATTTAGCCTTAGTAACTAGGTCGACATTCTGTAAGTCACTTTAGCATCGCTCAAAGGTCATCCATAAATTATAATCTCATCGAACCTCAAGAGAATTTGTCAATATGAATATTCTTCGATCAAATATTGATCTTCTGATCATGTTGATTTTATAACAAAAAAAGGTGAAACTTACTTTTACAGTAAGATATAATTTTCAATTGGTCATGGATATCATTAGTATTGAACTGAAGATGTATTCTGGTATTGTATAGAAAAGATAAACAATAGTAGAGATGAAAAGAAAACTAAATAGTATATCAGAAGAGGTCTCTTGGTGGATATTACATTAATTACAATAGTTGAGATCATGAGTCAATTGAAACTAGACCACCATGGAAAACTTGGAAGCACTAGATGGCAATTTCATCCTATTGTGGGATTCCTCAGCATTCATGATCCCTCACACAGGACTCAAAATTAAGACCTGCGATCTTGCGCGCGAACACTTAGCCTTTAGACCACTAAGCCGATATCCAATGGTGTGAATGTCTAACTTCAACCAATCCATGGTATCACGCGAACATCCATCATATGGGTCAGATAGGATGAGAGAAATAATAGTAGGATTACAAAGTCAATCGAATATCTAGTGGAAGACTGTGTTTTTTTTTAAATTAAATTATATGAAATTAAAAGGAAATAATATGGTTTGGTGAGTGCTAAATAGATTAGCCTTGTATCCGAGAGACCAATATTAATAATAAATGAATAAAGATAACAAAGAAAATTATATCTTGATATCATGATTGGATCAATCTTAGACCATCATGAAAAACCTAGAAGCACCGGACTGCTGTTTCGTTCTAGTATATGACTCCTCAGCATATTATATACAAGATTCTTCACGTAGGACTCGGACCCACGACCTTCGGTCTCGTTCATGAATGCCGTTGGATGCCGGCTCAGTGGTCTAAAGGCTGTGTTCGCACGGAAGACCGAAGGTCTAAGGTTTGAGTCTTATGTGGATGATCATGGATAAGTACTGCTGAGGAGTCCCTTACACTAGAACAAAACGTCTGTCCAATGTTTCCAGCTTTTCAATGATGGTCTAACATTGACCTATTCATGATATCAAACTATAATTGTATTCATATTTCTCTTATCCTATCTGAACTATATTTATTCAAATCATGAGTCTTATTGATGCAAAAGCTTTAGTCTTTAAGATTTATCAAAGAATATTCAATCAAAACTAGTTAGAACTCACTGGTGATCAATATAACATTCATTAGAAGGATCAATTGTTGTTTTATTGGGATTCTCTAATTAATGAAATAGAAAAATTAAAGTGTAATACTGAAGGTAAGTATTTGTAAAGATTGATTAAATGTATCAATGATATTTGTCACTAATCGATTTCTTTTCTAAGAGTATGGAATAGCTTGGGTTCGAATTTCGTGTACGGAATCGTGGATACATGGGACTCACCTAGAAGAGTTGGGAAACCCTGATTCCATACAAATGGTGCACATGGGCTCCAGTATCCTGAAGGAACAAATAACGTATGACCCAGTCGTTGGTCACCGTCTACTATGGGACTGCATCACCTGATGTTGCTCCACTTGCTTCGGTTTGAGCATCCGGGCAGTATCACAGCCAACACACAAACCGAATTATTTATATGGTGCATATCTATCTGGTGCATCCTTGTACCAATGTTTATGTGTTTGAATAAAATGAAGTGCTCACTTCTGAGGAATCTCATATTGGGACGATACGGCTAACCAGTGCTTTCAGGTTTTTTTAGAGTGGTCTAGCCTTAACCGACTTATGAATCCACAAAACCCTCTTCTGATAATATTTGGAATTCTTTAAGAAAATCCTACCAAACAATATACTGAGTATCGATAATAAGGATTTCTCAAGTTCTATGAATTAAGGATATGTTTTCACTATATCTACACGTAGAATCTTTCCTTAATATTTACACCATTGAGCTAACTGCTTCTATGAATCCCGTGTTCATCTTGCTGTGCTAATGAGTTATGGAAACTTGGACCGATGCATATATGTCTGGTCCTACGTTGTAATTGAGTAACTGGATCCGCTCTAATTCATAACTTGATGAAAACAATAGGTTACGAATACACCAAAGACGCTTCGAACGTGATTAAAACTAGAAAATGAGTATTTTTTTATTATATCTTGAAGCATATTTTAGGATCAATAGTTCTAATAAACTTTACTTAGAGCCCTTCTAGATTTACTGCCGATCTCAAGCCCGGATATAAGAGGACGGTTGGGCATGGGATTAGTGACTCCATCCTGTAGAAAACTAACTTACTATTGAGTGAAATAGTGAAGAGATACCAAATTTATGTTCAATGTTCTTTAATCTCAAACCGGCTTCCATATTCAAACTGACCTTTCTATTTTAAAATATAAATACTAGTTACTTTGAGATACTATTGCTATACTCACTTGATACTGTTTGCTTTGTATCTTCCCATTGAGGTTTAAGACTGCGATTGATCAGTCTCTTATTGGCATATGTGCAAATTGTGCGTATGCCTAGATATTGCCTTAATTCACAAGCTTTTTTAAGCAATGATGGATAGTGGCTAGCAGTGGAATCCAGGACGCGCGTTTCGTCCGATTTGGGACTCGTCAGCTAGACGGGAAGATACAAGTCAAACAATACCAAGTGAATTTAAATTCACTCTATTGCACAAGCAAGTGGCTATCAGGATTCAGTAGCTGAGCGGATAACGTGGTTGCGTTTGAAGCGAATGGTACTGGATTCGAGTCCCAGAGTGAACATCAACTCTGAGATGCAGGCAAATCCGGCTGACGAGTCCCAAGTAGGACGAAATGTGCGTCCTGGATTCCACTGCTAGCCACTATCCATCATTACTATTGCTATATTATAAAATCTATAGAAATTCAAGAAAGGAGATTGTAACCTACGTTGGTTAACTTGATAATCAATCGGGATTTTGTTGACTGTTCCAGTTTTAGGAATTATTGCTAGTAAATGTTCAGTGCGATTTAATTTTGGTAAGCATTTTCTTTTCTTTATAGATTTTTTACCTTGGGATATTGTATTGATAGCAGTAGCATTGATGTTTTCATGGTTTGCTTGGTTTCTATTAAGATAAAGGATAATAATAATAATAATAATAATAATAATAATAATAATAATAATAATAATAATAATAATAATAATAATAATAATAATAAAGCTGTGTTTGTAGCCAGAAGGTGATAGAACTCGGAAATATGAATCATTCGGTTAAAGCTAAGTAGTTTAAAAGCTAAGCAGTTAGCTACAACATAGAATCAGGCACATACATATATCGGTTCAAGTTGCTACATCATACTCATTAGCACAACGAGATGAACACTGGATTCATAGAAGTCGTTACTTCAGTGGTAGAAATGTATGAAAAAAGATTGTGTATAAAGATTTGATGCAGAAAAAAGGGTACAAAGTCACTTAAATCTCACGGAATAAGGAAAGAGAGAGGAGTGTATACACCGACGCTATTGTGATTGATTTTGAGTCATGTCACTCAGAATCTCCAACCAATGGTTACGATAGTCACGCGGACCACAACCACTTGCTGATGAACATTATCTAGTTTCCATTGTCGTAAACGCCGTTTCATACGAACAGAAAATAGACTTTTATTGCTTCCTGGTCTTTAATAGTAACTCAACTGGAATCAATCCGTTAAGAAGATTCAATACAAATGTGACTGGTATTTCGCGAGGTTGACATATATTTCATTTGTTATCCCATGATAACAGATAGACCATACAGATACGTGCCAACTAGCAGGAATCCTAGGTTAGCTGATGATTGATCTCATCCTCTTGATAATGCACGTATTACATCTCAGGTCAATCTAGCTATTAGTACCAGCGTTATTTGATCAGTACATTCTGTTTCATACTGTATACTAGGAATCATAATATTTGTTACTAGTCAGCAATAAGTTATTTCACTGGAAATGCTTATAATTAGGAAATAAACGTTTCTACACACTGAACTCTGTGGGGCATTCAAACAATCGCTTTTCCAACCAAAATTAAGTTAACCATTTCATGTGGATAAGGCTTAAAATATCTAACCAATTACTGTTAACAAACTAGTCATACAATATTTTATGACTGGAATTTAGACTTAGATTGAATAGTGTTTAACCACTGAAACCCTTTAGCTCAACCACTAGCCCTTCTGGGGCTACTGCTGGACTTAAGTCCGGGAAAAAGAGAAGGTCTAGAGATAGGACCAGCAACCTTACCCGTAGAAAACAATCTTGTTAAAAGAAGGATAGTCAGAAAAACAATTTAAAGTGTTGAAACTCTGTCCTGAAAGTTGAAGGATCACTTTTTAGAAAAAATTGCGGCGCTTCCTAGTGAAAGCCGATATTCACCGGAAATCACGAGGCCAATGAATATTATCCAATGTCATATACCAACCAATGATCACAAGTAATGCCCGTTAAAAGGAGCCAAATATATTTCATAGAATGATAGCTAAACTTTACCTGAATAATTTATTTTTCTGCTCAACAAACTTGAGTACAAAAGGTTTCGATTCGTTAAAACCAAAACCACTTTTTTCTTCATGATATAATCTACTATTGTTAACTAAATCGGGGTCCAGTTTGCATTTAAGTACGTTTAAGTTATCTAGTATTCTGGAGGTAAGAGCCGTTGATGTTAAACTTTCGTCATGTTGCTCATATTTTGAAAAGGATGTTCCCACTCGAGTTTTATCCATTATTATTATAGCCGTACTATGAATAAAACAGAGATGGATGAACGTAATTATGTTCACTCATTAAAGATAAATGAATCATTTGGAAATACGTTAATATTCTGATCAATATCAAACACGTTTGCCCCGTTTAGAGATGTCATCATCATGGTATTCTGATTTCAGGTGACTTAAATAATCATCAAGCGTAAATATTTGAGTCTAAAAGGAATGCGTTACCTCTCAAGATCATGATGACTGATTTTACTTGGAATCAAATTCAATTGTGGATTTCTTAGATGATGTTTTATATTGAAGTAATTCACGTAAGATAACGACGTACAGAAAGTCACATATCTTCTCTTTTTACTCTCACGGTTGAACACAAATAAAAGCATGCATGTAGAGGATAGACCTTTATTTAACTAGATACCAAATTATTTCCTGACGTACATTTTAGAGTTCAAGTGGGTAAATTGGGATAGAAACTGTCGCTACTAGGAGATAACTCATTTTACTACAAAAATTGCTGTTCGATAGAACAAATGATCAAAACTCAACAAGTTCAATAGTAGTAACAAGGACGGAATAATTCAGTGATATATAACTGAGTTGTTATTTTTCATGAATTCAAAGAAATATATATATATCACAATCTAAGTACCTATTATCTTCCTTAAGCTACAAAAAGACGTGGCTTTTCATTTAGTTATCAGGAAGTTGTCAACCACACTGACAGCAGTAACACTATTCATGTTATTAAATTGGTTGGAGATTAATGACACGATTTTCGGAGAAAATATGGATTAATGTAGTAAAAGTTCTACAAGGTATTTAATGTTATTCAGAAACTTAAAATCTGCTGAAAGACAAAGAGTGAATACATCCCTCCTACTGTAGACAATTCTAAGCCAAATCACCCAAAGCCTTTAACCGTTTGTAACAATAGTAGCGCGGACACGAACCTGTTAGTCTTCATTTTTCTAGTTTTCTCAGCGTAACGGTCAATGAATTCATAGATTGATCATAGACCTTGATTTGAGCACTACTAGACTTCTTTCGGCTTTCTTCTAGACCAGAAAACATCGTGCTCCGAGGTAGGTGGTAGATGGGCACACACAGTATATGTACTAATCAATTAAGTTAAACATAAATATAAAACTTTTTAATCTTTCGAGCCAACTGCTTAATGCAATTCATTTATTTGAAGTCGCTGAGACAAATGAAATTCACTGGAACCACAGGATTACAAATTTATACTAGTAGGAATTTATATATTAAGGATATTATGGATGTATTACAAACCCACCTACATGGAATTGAAATGAATTATATCACTTTTTGAAGTTTAATGAAGATGGATTTGCAACTAAGCGATCTGCCCCTATTTGTTGGCAGGTATTAACCCACAAACATTTATAATAACTCCAGAGCTAATTTTTCAGTCTAAGAGCAATAAAATATTTTATAGCAAGGCTACATCGTTATTCGCTAGTTATAGAAACTCGAATTTAACCACTGTAGTTTATGGAGAAATGAAATTCTACTTATCGAAAAGTTCTCTGTTGCCTTCAATACGACACCAACCTGTTTCCGTCATGTCAAACTCTTTTTAGTGAATTCGCTAAAATGTTTTTGGCTTTGTATACTGTGTTCGTACGCCCTAAACGTGAGTACTGGATGCAAGCGGCTAGCTCCTGCTTAAAAAAGGCAGTGAGCTTTTGGAAAAGGTTCAGAGAGCAGTAACTAAGCTGATTCCCGGAATAGCGAAGCTCTCGTATGATGCTCGACTGGCCAAGCTAAACTTATTCCCGTTGTCGTATCAAAGAACTAGAGGCGATTTGATTACAGTTTTCAAATTGCTTGGTGATAAATTGGCGTCTGATATGTCCTCATTCTTATTGTCTTCCAAAACAGAGAATTTACGAGGACACTCCAAAAACGTTCACAAGCCCAGGACAAATTACTTGTCGACTGACTATCGACTTTCCCATCGAATCATCAACGAGTGGAATTCATTACCCCAATACGTGGTTGAGGCTCCATCTGCCGACTCTTTCAAAAGAACTTTGGATCAACTGAGAGACCACAATTGTCAGGACTAACACAGGCCGTCGAGCATCCTGTCCTTTCCAAACTGAAACTGATTTGTGCTTGATTATTTATCAGTTTCCAAAATGAAGTGTGTGATCATATTAACATCATTATGTATGAGTTATATATCGTGGTTATGCTTCAAACGTTTCCTCAGGTTTGTTTCACTATAAACGTTTAGAACGCATATCGTAAATCTCTGCAGACAGTGCCAACACTTTTCAGATAAAATGTTATCGTTCGATAATACAAAATGGGACTATGGAGCTCCGCAATGATAGACGCTTTTGTCAAGAAATTCACTAACTAAAAAATATGTGTGTATTTTTCTGTAACTTTTAGTGTTGGGCGATATAAAAAGTGAAGTTGAAGAACTATGAATTATCATATGAAGGACGAAAATTTAAGTGAATAAATTATCAATAGTGGCAAATGTTTGTATGATTATGCTGTCAAACACAAACATAATTATTTATATTATTCTTGTCATCCAGACTATAATTACCCCGGCGTATAGCATGAACTAAAACAAGCCTTATCGTTGTGTTTTGCGTGTCAAATTCGGTTACTATGCTAATGACGATTTCATGACAGTTTTCAGTGGAACGGAAATTTAAAAAGGAACCTCTGGACACAGTACTTTGAAATCACCCATAGATTCGATGACCTTGAAAACCACAACTACGGCAGAATGTAAAAACCTTTGTAGGGTAAAACAAAAGCAGTTGCAATTTGGAAAAGACACAAGGCTAGGTGGCTTACGTTAGTCCTGGAAATGTTAGTCTCTCGGTTCATCCAACATTTTTTTGAAAGAGCCAACAGACTCAGCTTCAGTCATGTACTGAGGTAATGAATCCCACTGGGTGTTAATTCGATGGAAAAGTTGATAGTCAGCTGACAAGTAACCTGTTCTGGGTTTGTTACCTTCTATGTAGAGCCCTTTATTTATAAAAGAAGAAAAATGATGGCATGTCAAGTGCAAATTTATTATTAACAAATTTGAATACTGTAATCAAGTCACCTCGAGTTCTTCGATGTGTCAATGTGAATCGGTTTAACCGGTCGAACATAATACCGTCGCTCGAATATTTCCAAAATTATTTTTCGATGACGTATGAATAAAGGTTAATTGATATATTTGTTTGAACGGCCCAAAAAGTACGGCAAAGCCCCAAGAGGTTCTTAAGATGCCGAAGAGACTCCATCTAACTAGAACCTGATAGAGCCTTCTAGAATATTAACGTGGCGTGCTACGACTAGATGATTACATAAATTGTCTTCTTGCTGAATAACTGAATTATATCGATGCTATAGCCAATGATAATATCTATAAATGTCCATGTTTTTCTATGAATATTTTACTCTTACCAGTTATTAACTTACCCTACTTCGTCTGTTCGACACGTTCAACTGCTGTTAATTGCATATCGTATTATGCCGTGGTTAGGTAGAAGACGTAAAAATATACACTTTTTCATGAAAATGTGACTACTGAATCCATTAGTCGTTAAGAGAAATCTATTGCTTCTGATTTTGTACGAATATCATTCTATTTTTGTATTTATTGGATATTTTTGTACTGCGTTTTTTGACAGGTTAGTAAATCTTTACATTCTAAGCTTAACTCAAATGTGTTAAATGTGGTCAACGAATTCTTTTTCCGATTCGTGGAAATCACATCACCACCTGGTGTTTTAAGACCTGTCGTTAAATAATTCATTGTGAGGGGCACATTATGTAACGGATTTATGAAAATGATAATATAGTGCTTATCGGCAAATGATGTCTTGTTATTACGCTGATCCTCGCAAATTGTGGTTCGCTCTAAGTCACCACTATCAGCCGTAACTTGTTGTTCTAGTCACCCAAGAATTCCTATTTGCCCTGCTTGTGGTCGAAAAATGGTTTTCATTCATAAGCTAAAGTTGCTGTATATATAGAATCACTATCTTTTTCAATTAAGTTCCACATTCGCAGTTCTCTAACATAATTGTGACATATTTGCAGCCCAGTGTTAGTTAATTAGTCATATGCCATTACACAACCATAGACATATGTTTGAATTTATCGATCACCGTAAAGAGCAAATATGATATAGTTTTTGTATATTGCTGACTGATATTATAAGCTTACTCATGAAATACATCGTTACTCAAGTATTCTCGTACCCATACCGAGAAAGATTTCCTTCTTGCATCGTAGTCATTGGTATCTGTCACTCGTGAATGGGGAAAATAAAATTGGTTTCCGCTAATCAGATCTCGGATTAGCTTAACAAGTTGACACAATCGGCCTGAATTCCTTGTATTGTTTCCTTCTAGTTCATCGGACATTTTGAATTCGTTGACTCAAACGTTTACTATATATTAGGATATACGTAAAGGGTCATGAACAAAAGTATTAGTTGTTTTAGCTTGGGGTGTTCTTGCCGTTTTGTCATTAATGCAGGTTTTCAGAGAGCAAGAACTAATTCATTTTGTGTGCTGTAACACTGAGAGAAGAGAATTTATTTTATCCGTCATTATAGCGTAAAAGCATGTCTTCAGGCTTTGAGTGAGTAAGATGAGGATGTTTGATAAATCCACACACCTAAAACGAGCGAAGCCATAAACCGTTTTATTACTGCAATCTGCTGTGAACCTGTAAACAACATAGTCGGTATATGGCTGCGCGAAGCCGGGATAAATCCTAATACTACAAGCAAGAATGCCTATAAGTGAGCAACAAAACGGTAAAAGCTATGATCGCTAAATGTTGTGGATTAATTGAGAATGAACATAAGCGCTGTTGGATGTCAGCTACGTAGTCTAACTCTTGGACGTTCACACGCGACATCGAAGGCCTTGAGTTAATGTCGCACATTGAAATGAAGAAGCTGTTCAGTATTTACAAAATTTCAACAATGGTCTAAGATTGATAGGTTCGTGATG